CCCCAAAACCCCAAAACCCCAAAACCCCATTGGATGAAATTAATTGAAATTAGTTTAATATAGAAGTAAATTATAATACAATGGAAAACTAAAACTCCACCACTCCAATTCCATAACCAATATAGCTTGATTATGGTATATAAGAGGCAATAAAGTTTTATTAAGGCTTAGATGCTCCTTCAAAACAATTCTTTGATGAATATCACTCAAAGAATATTTGTATTAGATGCATATTGATGCTGTTTAGAGTGAATAATTTATAAATGTACAGAATCAAAGATTATCAAATCTTGATCAGAGAATTATAACTACAAGCAAACACCCTGACTTATTGCCAGATTGGTAATGTTTGTAAAATTTGCCTTGGAGTCAATTAATACTGCGATCTCGATGACAGAATCGACATATTAGTTTAAAAAATTAAAGAATAGAAATTCGAGTTTCGAGACTTTAAGATTACCTTTAGTATTTCGATAGTAGCATATATCAACAAGATGATTTACATATCAGATGCTGAGGACAAACTAGGCATTAGATTTCCCTTTTCCACTAAAGAATATAATAGAGTAATTTTCTTCGATAATATAATTGATAGAATTCTTTGGATTTCAAAGAAGTTTATAAGTGGATTGTCTCGCCAATATTAGTAAGAAAACTAGATGTCTCGGCCAATCTAGATGGGTCATTCTTGATCAATGTAAATTTCTGTAATAGAGATCAAAATGCTCTTGATAACCCTGACAGTGAAGCAGCAATTATTGATAAGCTCTAGAATGACCTGAATGAATTAGGTATTTCAAAAGTAAAAAATTAGTACGGATCAAAATGGAAAAATAAGAAGAATAAAAAGGATGATAAAGAAGAAGAGAAGTAATAAGTTAAGTCGCAAATGGGGGCAGAGCAAATTCTAGTTCTTCTTTCAAAAACACCATTATCATTGATGATGGAGCTTTCTATTGTAAGAGATGGCACAAACTATACTTTAAACTTATTGAGATAGCTATCTGTTGAATGTACATAAGATAGTCTCTTACTCTATGGCAGATATATTAAGTAAGATTTAAGTCAATAAAGTTTATTAGGCATTCAAGAGAAGTAAGTTAAACTCCATGGTTAATAGAGGCTAGAGATATTGTAAGGTTATTATAAGTATATATTTTATGAATTTAGAAAAATGTCCAAGATGAAATATCGAGAAATCTCTTAGATATTTTTGGGTCTAAATAAGTCTACTTACATGCAGCTGTACAATTTCATTTATCATAAAATTTTAGGGTCGTGAGGATATTGATGTGAGAATGCTAGGTATTGGGCGTCCATTTGTTTTGGAATTCATAAATCCCAAGAATATAATATCTTGCTTAAATCACATGCCAGAACTTTAGAAATATACTACTAGTGATGTAGTTTATTGTCATGATTTCTAGATTGTAGATAAAAGGTTCTTTGATGAACTTAAAGACATTGAAAACTCTAAAGCCAAAGCTTATTGCTGTGTTGTCTGGATATAGAGAAAGATTACTAAGAAAGAGTTAGAAAAAAGATTAAATTGCCTATTGAATATTGAGATTAAATAGACTACACCGATAAGAGTACTTCACAGAAGATCACTGATGGTCAGAGATAAATTGATATATAAGGTACATGCAGAATATATCAACTAGCATTACTTTGTACTGCATGTCTTGGCCTCGGCTGGAACCTACATCAAGGAATTCGTTCATGGAGACCTAGGAAGAACAGTACCTAGTATTGGATCTTTATTAGAAAGTGAAGCAGATATTCTTTAACTAGATGTGACTCAAGTTTATGATTCAGTTCATAATATAGATTTAACTAAGGAAGATTGGCATAAGATCTAATATATTGATAGAGAATGAGAAGCTTAATGCGATCATCATCATTAATTAAGAGATTTTTAATTAGATTTAAGTTTAATTTAAAGTATTACTTCATATCTATCACGCTTGCAATATCTAATCTATAAGCTACTTCTATTTCTCATTCAATGTCTTTGGGAATTCAATGATCATCTTGACGTGTAAATCTCCGAATTCACTATACATATTTCTCTTTGGCATACCCTCTCCAGTGATAACTTTCCAACTGAATGGTTGAATCACCTCATCTGACTTCGAGCTTACTTCAACAAGATGTCCATCTAAGTGTGTTATTCTCTTGCTGAATCCAAGAAGTGCTTCCTCTAGACTTATTTTCAAATCATAAAAGAGATTGTCTCCAACTCTCTTGAATCTGTTATGAGAAGACTATTTAACTGTAAAAATAACATCTCCTGGGATCATATCTGGAATTTACTCTGCTTCCTTTTGGAATACGATTTCATCTCCATCTTTCATTCCTTTTTCAATTACAATATTTAGCGATTTTACATCATTGACAACCTTTCTACCTCTACAATGACCGCAATTTGCTTGGTTAACTTATCCTCTTCCGCCGCATTGATCACATTGAACTTGCATTTGCATCTACATTCCAAAACCAACTTAAACTTTCTGCATAGTAATACCCTGTCCTTTACATTTTGGGCATTATTTTGTCTTTCCATCCTTAGCTCCTGTTCCTCTACACTTAGGACAATAAACATTTCTGGTAATGGACATGTCCCTTGTAGTACCCAAATATAAATCCTCGAGAGATACATGAACTTCAGCTTTAGCATTAGGTCCCTTTTGTCTGTTATCTCCTCCTCTACAGATAGAATAAATATTATCACAATGGTGTTTACCTCTCTAGTCTCTCTAATCCTTCTAAACCTTATTGATCATAAACCTATCTCTTATCTTTATCAGTTAGAATTTCATAAGCTCTATTGATCTGTTTAAACTTATCTGCAGCCTCTTCGCTGCCTATTAAAATATTAATGATTACTTAATTCGCTTACCTGGATTTTTATCTGGATGGTATTTCAGCGATAATTTTCTGAATGCCCTTTTGACATCAGCTTCATTGGCTTCTTTGTTTATTTCCAAAAGTTCATATAAGTTTTAAGACATAACTGATTGAAGAACTATCAATAAAAGGACTACTGTGGTCATTTTCAAGTGCTTTAATGGACTTTTCAGTATGGAATTTCCACACGTGTTAGAGTTTAAGAGTGTTTAAGCCATCTATCTATTTTATTATGTAACTATTATTTAATTTTGAAAATAGAAATTTCCAGATCTAGAAATTTGAAAGCAGCTCATGGCTTCGGGGTTTTGGGGTTTTGGGG